AAAATGAAGATGATAATACTTGAAACACATACTTCATGGGATTGCTTTAAGTTATAAAGTTGTAAACCTGAAGTGCTACACAATGTAGAAACATGTAAGTTGTTATCATGTTCTACTATTTCTACTAGGTCTCATATTTTACATCACAAAAAGGCACAGAGTCAAGATAGAAAAAGACCTTGCTATTGTTGGACACTTTAATAAACTAGATCTGGAATATTACGTTCACTTCCTGATGTCACATTTTAAAGATTTCGACAAGCCACAGCGAATCCAAAGGAATGCCGCAAGAATGGTGAGATTAGAGAACAGACCATGAGAATATTTTTTGAAGGTAATAGAAATGTTTAGTCTGGAAAAAAAAATAAATTTTAGGGAGGGTAGAATAACTATCCTTCTGGATGTATCTGCATATGAAAGTGGGAATACATTTTCCCCCATTTGACCTCAGAGGTTGAGACTAAAGACAATGATGAAACTTGTAAACAAGTCAATTTGTCTGTAAAAGACATTTTCCTAATAATCAGAGGAGTGAAAAACAAGCAATGTGTTGCTCAAGAGGAGGTTGGACTCCTCTTTATTGGTTGTCCTCAAATGTAACATGGATAACTACTTGTTATTTATGTTTTATGGATTCGTGTCCAGGTAAGGGTCGGATCTGATGCCCTCTGATGTCCTCCAGCTCTTACACTCTGTGAGGTACTAAGATTCTCTTCTAGATTTATCAGTCTTTAAGTTTTGTGTCAGAAAATAATTTATCTTGAAATTAAGTTTAACCATTTGTTGGGGTTGTACCTCTAGAACTGGATTAGACCATAGAGAAGCTATTCAATCAACATCCCTGTTTTGTGGGGAGGAAAAAAAAAAACAAAGAAAAGAAAAGAAAATGAGGAAAGTTGGTGACTTCACAGTCATACAGGTAGTAAGTAGCACAGTCAGAATTCAATCCCATGACTCTGACTGTTTTCTCTAGGGTAAGTACTGGTCATAACAGCCACTATGGCTATTAGAAAATATTAAAAACTGCGTATATTTTTACAGGTTATAAGTGACTTTTAGTGGTAGTAGAGTCCGAAGTTATCCATCCAGAATCTTTTTCTTTATGAACTAATGGTTCTTCTTGAAGTAACTTAAATGACAACCTTTTTTTTCTTCTCTTCTTTTTAACTAACTTTTTTCTTTTATTTTTTTATTAATTTATTTTGATTTATCAACAATCAAATCCAAATGCTTTTGAGTTTAAAATTTTCTGCCCCTTCCTCCCCACCACAATCTGAAGATGGTGCACAATCTGATATGTTATACATGTACATTCATACTAGTGATGTTGTAAGAATTAGAACCAATAGGAGGAACCACCAGAAAGAGGAAACAAACTCAACAGAAGAGAAAAAAAAATAGCCAATATGGTATGCTTCGATCTGCATTTAAATTCCATAGTTCTTTCTTTGGATGTGGATAGCATTTTCTATCGTGAAGCCTTTAGAGAGGTCTTGGATCCTTGAATTGCTGAGAAAAGCTAAGTCTATCTATATTAATCATCACTTAATGTGGCTATTACTGTACAACATTTTCCTGGTTCTGCTTATTTCACTCAGCATCAGTCCATGCAAGTCTTTCCATGTTTTTTGAAGTTAGCCTGTTCTTCATTTCTTATAGCACAATAGTATTCCATTACATTCATATACCACAACTTGCTCAGCCATTCCCCAATTGATGGGCATCCTCTCAATTTCCAATACTTTGCCACCACAAAAAGAGCTGCTATGAATATTTTTGTACATGTGGGTCCCCTTTCCCATCTGTATGATCTCTTTGGGATATAACCCTAGAAGTGCTATTGCTAGGTCAAAGGGTATGCACATTTTTATAGCCCTTTGGGCATAGTTCCAAATTACTTTCCAAAATGGTTGGATCATTTCACAACTCCACCAACAATGCATTAATGATCCAATTTTCCCACTTCTCCAACATTTTTCATTTTCTTTTTTTGTCATCTTGGCCAATCTGATAGGTGTGATGTGGTACCTCAGAGTTGTTTCTATTTGTATTTCTTTAATCAATAGTGACTCAGAGCATTTTTTCATATGACCAAAGACACCTTCAATTTCTTCATCTGAGAACTGCCTATTCTTATCCTTTGACCATTTATGAATTGGAGAATGACTGGTACTCTTACAAATTTGACTTAATTCTCTACATATTCTAGAAATGAGGCCCTTATCAGAAACAATGGTTGTAAAAATTCTTTCCCAATTTTCTACCTTCCTTCTGATCTCAGTTTCATTGGCTTTGTTCATGCAAAAACTTTTCAATTTAATGTTATCAGTGTTATCTATTTTGCTTTTCTTAATATTCTCTGTCTCCTGTTTGGTCATGAATTCTTTTGTTCTCCACAAATCTGATAGGTAAACTATTCCTTGCTGTCCCAGTCTTTATATCTAAATCATGAAGCCATTTTGACTTTATTTTGGAATATGGTGTGGGATATTGATCAATTCCTAGTTTCTGCCATACTGTTTTCCAGTTTTCCAAGCAGTTTTTTTTTTCAAAAAGTGGGTTCTTATCCCAGAAAAGTGGGGTCTTTGGGTTTATCAAATAATAGATTACTACAGTCATTGACTACTATGTCTTGCATACTTAACCTGTTCCACTGATCCACCACTCTATTTCTTAGCCAGTACTAAGCAGTTTTGATCACTGCTGCTTTACAATAGAATTTAAGATCTGGAATGGATAGGCCACCTTCCCCTGCATTTCTTTTCATTAGCTCCCTTGATATTCTGGATCTTCTGTTCTTCCAAATGAATCTTGTTATTATTTTTTCTAACTCTATAAAACAATTTTTGGTAGTTTGATTGGTATGGCACTGAATAAGTAAATTAGCTTAGGTAGAATTGTCATTTTTTATTATATTAGGTCAGCCTACCATGAGCAACTGATGTTTTTCTAATTATTTAGATCTGACTTCATTTGTGTGAAAAGTATTTTGTAATTGTGCTCATAAAGTTCCTGGGTTTTTTTTTTTGGGAGGTAGACTCCTAAATATTTTATAATGTCTACAGTAACTTTAAATGGAATTTTCTTTCTGTCTCTTGCTGTTGGGCTTTGTCGGTAATTTCTAGAAATGCCAATGATTTATGTGGGTTTATTTCATAGCCTGCAACTTTGCTAAAGGTGTTTATTATTTCAAGTAGTATTTTACTTGATTCTCTAGGGTTCTTTAAGTATATCTGTATGTCATCTTCAAAGACTGATAGCTTTGTTGCTTCTTTGCCTATTCTAATGCCTTCAATTTCTTTTACTTCTCTTATTGCTAAAGGCAAAGTTTCCAGTATGATATTTAACAACAGTGGTGATGATAGATATCCTTGTTTCACCCTTAATTTTACTGGAAACCTTTCTAGCTTGTCCCCATTACATATAATGCTTGTTGAAGGTTTTAGGTAGATGCTACTTATTGTTTTTAAGGAAGACTCCATTTATGCCTATGCTCTCTAGTGTTTTTAGTAGGAATGGATGTTATATTTTGTCAAAAGCTTTTTCTGCATCTATTCAGATCATTGTGTGGTTTCTGTTAGTTTTGGTGTTGATATGCTCAATTATGCTGAGAGTTTTCCTAATATTGAACCAGTCCCGCATTTCTGGTATAAATGCTACCTGGTCATAGTGTATTATTCTTGTGATAAGTTGCTGTAATCTATTTGCTAATATTTTATTTAATTTTTTTTGCATCTATATGCATTACAGAAATTGGTCTATAATTTTCTTTCTCTATTTTGACTTTTCCTGCTTTAGGTATCAGCACCATATTTGTATAATAAAAAGCATTTGGTAAGACTCCTCATCTATTTTCCCAAGTAGTCTATATGGTATTGGAATTAATTGTTATTTAAATGTTTGATAGAATTCACATGTAAATCCATCTGGCCCTAGAAATTTTTTCCTGGGGAGTTCATCAATGACTTGTTCAATTTCTTTTTCTGAGATGGGCATATTTAAGTATTTTACTTCCTCTTCTCTTAATCTGGGCAATTTATTTTGCAAATATGAATCCATTTCACTAAAATTGTCAAATTTGTTGGCATGCAGTTGGGCAAAATACTTCCTAATTATTGTTCTGATTTCCTCTTCCTTGGTGGTAGATTCACCTTTTTCATTCTTGTGACTAGTAATTTGTTTTTCTCTTTTCTTTTTGTAATTAAATTAATTGAGGGTTTATCTATTTTATTGGGTTTTTCATAAAACCAGTTCTTAGTTCTATTTATTAGTTCAATAGTTTTCTTAATTTCAATTTTCTTAATTTTTCCTTTGGTTTTTAATATTTCTAATTTGGTGTTTAATTGAGGATTTTTAATTTGTTCTTTTTCTAGTTTTTTTTTTAGTCAAATGCCCAATTCATTGATCTCCTCTTTTTCTGTTTTATTTAGGTAAGAATTTAGAGATATAAAACTTCCCCTAATAACTGCTTTCGCTGCATCCCATAAGTTTTGGTATGTTGTCTCATTATTGTCATTCTCTTGAATGAAATTATTGATGGTTTGTATGATTTATTGTTTGACGCAATCATTTTTGTAGGATTAGATTATTTCGTTTCCAATTATTTTTAGTTTATCTTTCTATGACTCTTTATTACAAATAATTTTTATTGCATTATGATATGAAAGGATACATTTAATATTTTTGTTTTATGCATTGGATGATGAGTTTTTTACTGGTAGAATTTAATTATAGTATATTATTACATGATTCTGCTTAGTTTTAGAAGAAGGATCATGGGTTTATCTTTTCAATTAAAAATAATCTTTGAATGAACATTCATAGAGGATTCAAGAAGTTTACTTTCTATTAAAAGGAAAGGCTTCAACGGAAACAGCTCAATATTAGCACAACTCATTCGTGAGGTTTAGAATTTCTAGAATGTAAGAGAAGGCTGCTAATTTCACTTACAGTTATGACTCTTTTGCTATCCCCACAGTTGGATAAATACGAAAGCAAACATGCCTAATAACACCGAGGTCACCATGTTTGTTCTAATTGGCTTCACAGACCAGCTAGAGCTACAAATCACCCTCTTCTTGCTGTTCCTGGCAATCTATCTCTTTACCCTAGTGGGAAATCTGGGATTAGTTGTGTTAGTTGTGGTTGATTCCCGACTCCATACCCCCATGTACCATTTCCTCAGTGTCTTATCTTTCTTGGATGCTTGCTATTCCTCCGTTATCACACCTAAGATGTTGGTAAATTTCCTAGCACAGGATAAGGTCATTTCCTTTGTTGGTTGTGTTGTCCAGATGCTTCTCTTTATCACTTTTGGGGCCACTGAATGTTTCCTTTTGGCTGCTATGGCATATGACCGCTACATGGCAATCTGTAACCCACTGCTCTACACAGCCATCATGACTCCTCGCGTCTATGTGCCTCTCATCATTGGCTCATATGTAGGGGGTGTGACACACGCCATTTTACAGACTGTGGCTACATTTAATTTGTCCTTTTGTGCATCCAATGTAATCCAACACATCTTCTGTGATGTCCCTCCACTCCTGGCCATCTCCTGTTCTGACACTCATGTCAATGAACTGCTTCTTGTCATCTTTGTGAGCTCAGTTGAAATCTTCACCATCCTGGTTGTCCTGGTTTCTTATGTCTTCATCTTGGCTGCCATTCTGAGGATCCGCTCAGCTTCAGGGAGAAAGAAAGTCTTCTCTACTTGTGGTTCCCACCTGACAGGGGTAGCCATCTACCATGGCACTATCCTCTTCATGTATCTGAGGCCCACTGCCAGCTACTCTCTGAGCCATGACATGGTGGTGTCAGTATTTTACACCATTGTGATTCCCATGTTGAACCCCATCATCTATAGCCTGAGAAACAAAGATGTGAAGGAGGCAGTTAAAAAAGTTGTGGAGAGAACTAGGTTTACCCATAATATTATTTTTCCATGTTAGAAGTAAAGGCTATATTGGAGTAATGGGGAAAATGGAGGTTAAACTTCACCTAGACAGCTAAGTGATAAAGTGGATAGAGTGTTGGGCTTGGAGATAGACAATCTGAAGTTCAAATTTAGCCCCCAATACTTACTAAGTGTGTGACCCTGGGCCACTTCTCTTAGACACAATTTCTTCATCTATAAAATGGGCATAATTATAGCACCTATCTCAAATCATTGTTATGAGGATCAAATGAGATTATATTTGAAGAATACTTTGTTAACTTAAAACATATAGAAAGGCTAGTCATTATTATCATGATTATTTAAGAATTACTAGTAATCAATCTTATTGAACTTTTCTGAAGGTACAGGCTTTTGCATCAACCTTTGATATTAGGTGCATACATACTTTAGATTAAAGAGATTGATATGCTGTTTTCTATGTGAAAATGGTGGTGAAAATGACATTGTTCCTAAGGACCTTACATTGTGATAGAATAGCAATTGAGAAGTGTAACTTCTTTTCTATTAAATCTGTCACACATACACACGTGTGTGTGTGTGTGTGTGGTTGTGTGTGTATGTGTTTCTCCCAGCAGAAGCCAAGGTAAATCTTTTTTGACACTAGCTTAGTAACATAGAGTGTTGGACTTGGAGTCAGGAAAAACTGAGTTCAAATTTGTCCAGATGCTTACTAGCTGTCTGTGAGTAAGTAATTTAGCTCAGTTTACTCATCTCCAAAATGGGGATAATAGTAGCACCTACTTCATAGGGCCGTTGTGAGGCTCAAATAAGATTAAAGAGGTAGATCAGGTTACAAACATTAAATCTCAGCATAAATTCTTCTTGTGGTTCTCCTTTTTTCTCCTCCTCCTCCTTTTCCTTCCTCTTCAAAATTCTCTGAAATATCAGCACTTTTGGAAAATTGCCAAGTGTGACTCCCAAAACACACATTACAAATAGCTGGGAATGTCAGGCTAATATGGTTAACCGATATAGCTTCAGCACTGAGCACAAGACATGGGGAATTTTTATACGTTAGCATGTAGGACATGCTAATATAGCAATGGGGTGAAATAATTGACATATCAGACCCTTTCAAGTTCTGATTTATTTATTTTTTAATGCAATGGAACAACTTTGGTCTGGGTTGGCCTTTGTTGTATTCCCATTGAGATGTGGGATACTCCAGCTGTGGTAGAAGCTTACTTCAGCTCCTGGGAAGTGGCCTTAAACCCAGGGAAAGGTAAATTCTATCTACACAGAGCAGAGCAATATCCAAATTGATAGTCAAGCATCATCCAGATGGTCTCATCAGACTAACATCCATCTAAAATAACCTCCTATACAACCAAGTGGCAAGTTTCTGGGAATTTAGGCAATCTAAACTCATTCTGATCACATTCTGAATTCATACTAGGAGAGGATGCAGAGTTAGTCAGAATTATTATTTTTCTTGTAATAAGAATCAATTTGGGTTTCTGTCTTCACCCTACATCTATCTTATCTTTCTCTATTGAATCCCATCCCCCTAACCACAATGCACACATTCATAGGACATAGCCATTCAATTTATTAGGATGGTATAATTTATTGGACAAAGTAGAAACTGAAAAATTAATAGAACAATCCTTTCAACATGGAGAATTGCCCAGCTGTCCAAAAACTCTTTTGACACCCCCAGTTCATAAAAGTTGTGGGTAGGACAGAAAGGGGTGTGTGTGTGTGTGTGTGTGTGTGTGTGTGTGTGTGAGTTCAAGCCCACAACCTGGGCAGTATCAGGGAAAGTATAGGAATAATGTGTGAAACATGCATATCTTCTTTCTATCCTTCCAAATACCGAGGATTTCAAAGTTGCCACTGAGTTGCACTAGATTTTGAATTCTATGCCCATGTTAGGAGATATGCCAAATCCTGGGTCATTTATCTGATGACTGCCCATTTGGATATATGAATTGAATATCAGTTGGCACAGCATCCTGTTATTCTAAACTACTTTGTCCCATCACAGAAGAAGCAGTTACGGACAATGAAACTTGCCTTCCTTCTATCATGTATAAGTGTTATTGGAACCCATCTATTTCTGAGTTGTCTCCTCTATTAGTATTTACGCTTCTTGAGGGCAAGGATTGTTTTTATGTTTTGTTTTTTCCTTTTTTATACTCACAGAGCCTAGCACAATGGCCAGCACATAATAAACACATAACAAATTCTTGTCTATTGATTGATTGATCAAACCGTGCATATCCATAACTCCTGAGTGCAGACAATTATGGATTGTTTGGGACTTTTTTGTGTACCTACGAAAGGTTGTGGGCTTAAAGGAATACAGTATTTTATTATTTTTTTCATGGGAAGCAAGGTGGTATAGTGAATGATTTAATAATGGCCTTTCAGTATCAAAGACTTGAGTTCAAATCCTGGATCAGATAATTAATAAATATAAGACCCTGATCAAATCACTTAACTTTTCTCAGCCTTAGTTTTCTCATTTTTTTGCAATGTGGACAATAACAACCTTCCTTTTAGACAGTTTATATGAGGATCAAATAAAATAATCTATGTAAAGCACTTTGTCAAACCTAAAATATTATACAAAATACTACTTAGCATTATTCTCATTTTTGTTTATTTTATGCCTAATACACATTGTTAGCTGGCCAATTTGTTGAGTCTGTTCATGTGGGAAGTAGAATTATTCTTCCAAGATGAGACGAGTAGAGTTCAGTCTTTCATAGCAAATTCAGGGCCGTGGCAAAGATTGCCTGAGACATGGGTTTGAAAGCTGATTCTTGTTGAGTAAAAAGGAAAGGACACATATCACAGTTAGAATTGGTGTAGCTTCTGTAAACAGAGACATAACTGGAAAACAGAAGCTTGCCTGCTCTTGGGTAGTCATTAAGACTTGAATATTCTTCAACAGTTATGCCAGTAGGGCAGATGCCCTCAACCACCAAAGCAAACATCAAAATACCCAGGTTTAGGTTCTTTATGTTGAACAAAACCACATAGTGAATAGCAGTGGCACCTGATACTTACTCTGGAATTTCATTATAATAGGCCAAGATGATTTACACAGAGATTCCTACTTTATTGGGACTGCTAAAAATGTGAATGTGTTCATTTTCATTGATCAAAGTTCTATGGGAGAGCATTATAAATTATTTTGCTTTAGAACTGAAAGTGGAAATATTCTGGCTGTTGCTGTCAACATTTTTCAATGTAATTTAATCCAATCCAATCCAACAAACGTTTTTTTAAGTTGCTAATATAGACATTTTTAATAAGTACCAAAGAAGTGATGTATCTGCATTTGGAGATACACTTCCCAAGTGTCACAGGAAATGCTCTAGTCTCCATTTCCTCAAGGCTAGGTATGTTACTTTTTACCCTTACTCCATGATACTCTTATTTGGGTGAGGGATATCTCATTTCTACCTTGACTAAAGACCTCTAGTTCTATTTAACCACATCATACACTCACTTTTACAAATGGATATTTACTACAAAGTTATAGGAAGAACAAATGTATGCACATACTATTCCTCCAATAATTGAGGGACATAATATCTGCTACACTGCCTGTTTCTGGGGAAGGAAAGCTGAGTAAATTCACAGCTTAACCTAATTCTTATATAACATTAATTCCCATCATCCTCCTACCCTACCCCACTAAGTTCCAACTTCCACCCTTCTTGGGTCTTTATTCTGGTACACTGGATTCTCAGGGGTCCATTGCTGAACTAGAAGTAATATATAGCTTTGAATTCTGGCTCCAAAGTCCCCATGGCTTGAGTTCACAAGTCTGAGACTCAGCTCCCTATCCTAAAACTGCAAAAAGACAAATAGAACATGATGAAAATTGCAAGCCCATTTCTTGTGTCCATAAGGCCTAAGAACAAAGAGAAGGTAGCCCTTCTTTCACCCAGCTTAGTGAATTCTGTCCATGTTATGGGTAAAGAAAACTTTTATCCCTGGACACCAAGACTGCTTCAGTATGATAGTTTTAAAGACTCAGCCCATTCCTTCTACACAGTAATCACAAAGAGGCTATCCACACCCATGTGGTAAGGTCTTCTCTCAGAAGCAGGTCCCTGGCATTTCCCACACAGTTGCCTCCATCTTAGGTGACCTGGCCTCATATTAAATTATTTTACACATGAAATAAAATGTTTAGGAAAAATGTTTATTCCTAAAATGTTGGTACACCATCACTTGACCATTGCAAGGCATAACTTCCTTCCTGTTATGTTTTCATAAGCCTGTTCAGAATCACATTGGGATTATTTTACACGCCACAAAGATTTATTTAGTGCCGAATGTGGTCACTAAACCTCCTCTGAAGTTTTCCTCTGATGCAGCATGTAGTCTTAAAGTGGACCCTAGGTTCTCAAACACTATGCCTTAAGCTTATAAATTGGCAGGTGCTATTAAAATTGAAAAGTTCTGAGGAAGACACTATGGCAGACTATATGTCTATAGTCTAAAGGTCGGCCAAAGTTTGAAGAGGTAGGGATGATAAGATGATATCTTTTTTCACCAAAGCAAGTCATTAAATAATCTATGAAACCATAGAGAGGTGACTATCTGCATTGGTGAGGGGAGTACTCACTTTGAAAAAACAATTGATCCTTGACATATTGAATATATCCATAGTTCTTTAGCATTCTTTCCATGATTTAAACATGATGGCGAGCCTCTTAGTTAATGTGGGCAGTCTGGTTCAATAGATAAACAAATCAGAACTTCTAATTAAGAGATGCAAGAAGTGACTATGCATCATATGTAATGTGGACAAGCTAAAAGCATTTTTAACAAAATCGGGCATGAAACAAGGATGTCCATTATCATCACTGTTATTCAATATCATACTGGAAATATTAGCTTTAGCAATAAGACAAAAAAAGAAATTGAAAGTATTAGAATAGGCAAAGAAGAAACACAAGTATCACTCTTTGTAGATGATATGATGACATATAATCCTAGAAAATCAAGAAAAAGATACTTGAAATAATAAAAACCTTTAGCAAAGTTGCAGGCTAGAAAATAAACCCATATAAATCATCGACATTTCTAGATATTACCAACAAAGCCCAGAACTGAGTGCATTTGTACCCATCTGTCCTAGAGATGCATTGAAAGGAGCAATCTCTCCATCTTGCCCATTCAACTTTATCTTATATTCTGGATACTAGGTGTCTTTAATCTACTTGGCTTTTAGTGTGTGAGTGGTTAACATTAACTGTTCTTGGCTACAGTTCTCTTGCAGAAGTCAGTGCAATTTTCGTGGGCATGATGTCCTTTTTCCTTGGCATATCAACCACAAACAGAAGCCTGGAACATAACAAATGCTTCATGAAATTAGGTAGACCAGCGAACTTTTTTCACTTGTTACTATCTGGCAATTTCTGTGACATGTTCATACAAACTTAATTAATTATTAATTAAATATCTCCATTGTTTCAGGGACATGGCCTCTTGGGGACAGAGAAAGCCATAAAGTCTGACTCTGGCATCTGGCAGTACAGATTACATGAACGAGTTATAGAAGATTGTACCTTCCAGATAAGCAGGTAATAATATTCCGTGTGAACTTCTAGGGCAGCAGGTATCACAACCATGGAATCCAAAAATCTGAGTTCAAAAACTCCATCACTGTGATCATTATGATGTTGAATGGGAGAATTTTGTGGCCTTGGGATGAATTCAATCACATTGAAATGATTTAAAATCATTGGAGGAAAGCCAGCAAATGATAGTTCCTGTGACAGTTATCACAGAAACTTTTCTGCAATCAGAGAAATTAAACAGTTTTTATCAAGGAATATTGATCACTAATAATATGTGAGAGAAGTTTTTTTCATGTCTCTTGGAGTAAAATATATTAAAAACATTGTTAGACTAGGTTACCTTCATAGTCCAGATGCAAAGAAAAAAAAAATTCTTTCTAATAAGGCACAAGGAAGGGAGACTACAGAGAGTGAATAATTATATGGAGTCTCCCTGGATTTCATGCAATTAATGACTACATGAGTCAGAGAGTGCAATACATACTAGACCTTTATTTTCAGTGGTTTATGTCACTCCTAAAAAGGAAATTCCATCTATTGGTATTAGCCATTGTTTTGCAACTGATAGTCATAGACAATGACCCCACAATGAGGAGATTACACAACTAGGAAAGGATTTTTGGAAATGTGTTGGATATGTTATCCATTCCTTCTCTACTTAGCTTCAAAGAAAACATGACATGTATTTTACCATAATTGTGCCATAAGGTGATCTTACATACTCCATCCTGTATTAGTATCCCATTATAATCTTTTGACCCATTGATTAGTTAAAATATTTTAAAACGTATCTATAATATTGTCCTGTCCCATCACTTAGAAAAAAAAAAGTAGTTTCATAATTTAAGTATTCTTTTTTTTCCATTTGGGTTTATTTCTTTTTATTTACAGTTTGTATTCAATGAAAATTAATTCCATAACATGAGAGTAGTTACTACGAATAGAAGCATGAGGACATGAACACAATATACAAGAACCCCAAACATAGTACAAGATACAAAATATAGCATAAAGGAGTGTTCATTCACACATACAGTAGCTTGGGACACTTCTTGAATTAGGACGTTTCTGGGTCGACTACAAAGCACAGAAAGCTTTCTGTGCTTTTTTTTATGAAATTAGGATACTAGTCATTGGATATCTCAGATCCAAGCAACTGTATGTGACCATGGGAACCAAAAAAAAAAAAAAAGGAAAAGAAAAGAAAAAAAGGATTTCTTTAGAAGATTTCAACATTAAGTGGGGTTTTTTTTAATATTTTTTTAAAAGTAGGAATGTAGAAATATCTGCTTCCCTGAATGAGGCCAGTGTTAGGCTTAATACCAAGTTCTATATCTAACAATATTGAATGAGAAGTCTCAGTTGTAACTACTGTGATTCACAAAGATTTTCTTTAAAAAAGATTACAGAAATAGAATAATGTTGTGAACTTATAATGATGCAATTAAGCTCCCAGTCCTTACATTCCAAATACTCAATTTACCTTGTTGTTTGGCTTTTACATGTTTGCCTCTTCAATTTGAGATTTTGAAATTATCAACCTTCACAATAGATCATTTTCAAAACTGTTAGCTATTTGAAATTTCAGAAATATAACAGCATTTAAAAAGTTATTCAAGAGATGGCGTTCTTCAAAAATCTTTGGAATTAAGGAAAGCAAGGTAGCTAATGAAATTCAACATTTTGTTAGATGAGGAAGTAGTTGGAATGCCTAGTTTTCTACAGAGTATTATGAAAGCCATTTTTGCTCATTTTGCTTTCATTGTAGGAAGGTTCCAATCCATCATTGCTCTGGCACATGTCATTTCTGATATAACAATTCAAATGCTGTGTCAAATCCAAAGCCACAGTGCAAATAATTTATCTCTTCCGAGAATACTGATACCTTAATGTTTTGAAACTTATCTAGAGTATATAGGCATTAAATTAGTACTGCTGAAACACCAGGAGGATTTACTACCAAAGCTTGATGATGCTTCTTCCACCATCCATATAAATAGAAACATGGAAGCTGTTTATGCTATCTAATCATTTTATAGCTAATGAACCAAAGTAGAAACCAAGTCTCTTTTCCACACCTTTTCCCTTTTTCTGGATCAAGAAAATAATCTACCCTTTTATTCTAAAGTAGAGCTACGGTTGTTCACAATTAGTGAATTTTTGATCTTGAATTAAGTGGATGCCAACTCTCTTCAGTCTTGTTCTTGGAAGTTCCAACTGGTTTAAACACTGAACTAAAAAGTCCAACATCATTCAATCCCATGAAATCATACAGATCCTTCTCAAATTATTTATTCAACATGTAGAAAATTAGTCTGGGACCTTCTCTGGAACTTCTATGTCAATAAATTTAAAGGTGTGGAAGTAGAGTGGGTGGGTCAAGACATTGACTCAACGTTGGCCTCTGACTAGTAGATGCAGCCATCTCAGAAGGCTCAGGAGGCTGGGTTAGGGAAGCATTGCTGTTGGCTTGACTGAGTCTTTTAACAGTAGAGATGTAGACGTACACAACCTCTTGAGTAACAGTAGAGTGAGAAGATGAAGAGGCTGCAGGGCATTTCCACTTCCTATAGTGGTGGTAGTCTTGTTTTGGGAATATTAGTCTCTGGTGAGTGGTAGGAGCCCCAGACAGAGCGTGGCCACGATCGCTATTCACATGTCCTCTCTATCTGTCTGGGCTCCTTCAGTGCGATGCAATACTATAGTGACATCTCCGCTCTGCCAGCACCCTCTACGTACTAAAGTAGTGTCTGCTTCCAGACCCAGGGGCCTAATGTACTATTTTGTAGAACAAAATTACATTCACTGTGTTCTTTGTGACAGGTTACTGATGTGATATGGAATGGTATAGCATGATGTGACATTATATCAAATGATATAATATGATATTATTTTAATTTGAGTGAATTCACAATATTCCATATAAATGGATAATTCTGTGGAGAAAATTCCTGCTCATCTCTAACACATTTCTAGCCATTCACTGCCTAGTTACCTACAAAAATGGTATTCAAATAAGGCTTCTTTCTATTCTCAGATTATGTTCCTTGGATGGAAGAAAAGAAAAGAAACCTGAACGAAACTCCAGGGATCCAGGTGACTGATTTCATTCTCATGGGCATCACAAACCGTCCTGAACTGCAGGGCCCCCTCTTTATTGTGTTTTTATTTAATTACATGGCCATAGTTGTTGGGAACATGGGCCTGATCATCCTGACCAGTGTGGATTCCCACCTCCAAACCCCCATGTACTTCTTTCTCAGGCATCTGGCATTTGTTGATCTTGGCTATTCCACAGCTATTGGGCCAAAAATGTTAGTTGGTTTCATAGAGGAGAAAAATATCATTTCTTATAACGGATGTGCAATGCAGCTAGTGTTCTATGTGATATTTGTTACCAGTGAACTTTTTATCCTGTCAGCCATGGCCTATGACCGCTATGTGGCTATCTGTAAGCCCCTCCTCTACACGGTCATCATGTCAGACATCATATGTTGGCTCTTGGTGGCTGTCTCATACCTCTATAGCACCATGGTATCCACACTGGTCGCAATAAAGCTTTTTAAATTATCTTTCTGCAAATCAAATGTAATAAAACACTTCTACTGTGATGGTGCTCCCCTATTGTCCATTACATGCTCAGACACAAGTAAGATTGAAGTAATCATTATTATCTTTGCTGTACTTAATTTTATTTCTTCCCTCTTGATTATACTTATCTCCTACGTGTTCATTCTTGTGACCATCCTCAGGATGAACTCTTCTAAGGGCAGGCACAAAGCCTTCTCCACTTTGGGCTCTCACCTCACTGGTGTAGTTATATTCTATGGGACACTTCTCTTCATCTATCTGCAGCCCCAATCTAGCCATTCCTTTGAGAAAGACAAAATAGCCTCTGTGTTTTACACCCTGGTCATCCCCATGCTCAACCCCTTGATCTACAGTTTGAGGAATAAAGAGGTGAAAGGTGCCTTGAGGAGGCTCTTTAAAAAAAGCATATAAGCCTTCATTTCAATGGCCAATGTAGTGTATGATTCCGTTTCATTATTAGAAGCAAGTAAGTATATGCTAGACTTCTTTCAACTTTCCCTTAATTATTCTCTTGTCTTTTAGAGGGAAACATTTCTCTTAATATGTAGTCAGAGAATGATTTTTGATTTGTTGGTGGTTGTGTGTGTTTTAGTGGTCAACCTGCAATAAATCCTAGATTAGTGGACCATTTAATTAAAGAAGCATATTAGAAGTTTAATACAAAATATTAGTATAAAACAATCTATTTCATTATATACTACATAGTTAAAGTCTAACTTTCCTTTCCTGGGAAGTTTCCTTGCCTGGGAAAATCAATTATCAAGCATTTAGAAAATGCTGGCTCCAGGTACTATTCTAGGCACTGGGCCTACACAGATAAATTTAAAAAAAATAGTTCTTGCCATCAGTGAACTTACATTTCATGAAGGAAAATAACATATACATGAGAGCCACACCATTCAGCCGAGAATCCAATCTTTTTGAATACCTCTTATTGTGAAGAAGTTTATCCTTATCACAACCTAAATTTCCCATCTCTGTCTGCCAGACATTCTCCTGGTCTTCTCTGTGAAGTACAATAAGTTGATTCCCTCTTCTTTATAATAATTGTTCAAATTCTTGAAGAAAACTTCTATCTCTTCCCCCAGCTTCAGTCCCAGATTTTGCTTTCATTTTTGTGCTATGATGGAAAGGACACTGAGTTATACAGGGGGTCCCAAAATCTTAGGGTAGATATGGTTTTCTAAAACTTAAAGTAAATTAGACTTTTGGGCCATTCTGTGTGGTTAAAGTACCTGGGTTTAAAAAAAAATTCTATTACTTGTGACCTGTTATATTCTGGGAAATAAGTTTATCTTCTCTGAATCCTACCCATTTATAAAATTTGAGATAAGATGACATACATTTTAAGTGCTATTTTACTTAAAATTCTACAATTCTTTGTGCTAACAGCATAGAGTCTACAACTAGCGCTCACATTTCATGCTCTTTTTAAAAAATAATTTTAAACCTAAATACAAAATGGGAAAAGAAAAAAAAAGAACATTGTAATGTAGACAGTAGAAGGTAAGAGAGGATTGAATATAAAATCATAAAATTCCATTTCAAGAAAAGCTATGTAATAAATACTACCTATTGTTTTCAAAACTACACAGTATTCTTTGCTTCCTTGTAGGTTGTCTTTTTCTGCTGTGCACTTTTTGCTCTATTTTTCCTCTCCCTCCTCATCCCACCCTCTAACCTAAATAAAACTACAATTAAACATTTATGTATGTATTTATGTATTTATGTATGTATGTATGTATGCATGTGTGTATGTATATATATATATATATATATATATATATATATATATACACACACACACACTGACACTCATAGACACACATAACGACTCTTACACATACTATGAATATTTCCACTTATCATCTCTTTCTCTGAATGTGAATAGTATCTTCTTTCCTAAATCCAAATCTTTCCTTATTTTTCTATATCAATCAGTTCATCATTTCCCACACCATAGCAATATTCCCACCCACTTACATCATAGTTGAGAGATTGTAGATGAAAGTTTTCTCCCCACTTTTCTGCATTTCTTTTATTCTTGGCTACATTGGATTTATTTAAATCATATTATTTTATTTTAAAATAATATAAATTATCCATTTCACACTCCAACAATGCTTTCATCTTATAGTTTAAGGTCTGATACTACTCAATCTTTTTCCTTTATGTTTTCCTTGGTTTCTTGGAAATTACTGACCTTTCGTATTCCAAAAGAACTTTGTTATTATTTTTTTCTAACTTAATAAGATAATTTAATTTAATTGGGATACTATTAAGTAAATAGATGAGTTAGATAAAATTGTCGTATTTATATTGTCTTTACTTACTCATGAGTAATGAATATTGCTTCAATTGTATACATCTGGTTTTGTTTGTAGAAAAAGTGCATCATTTTTATGTTCATTTAGTTCCTCTGTTGTTGTTGTTGTTGTTGTTGGCAGGTATACTCTGAGGTATATTGAGCTGCCTAACTATTTTAATTGGGCTAAAACAATATTGATACATAGTGAAGTTTATCTATTTTCCTCTTTTGATTAAATCGATGTTAGCTTTGTCTGTGTCTGAGATCATGATTACTACCCCTGCTTTTTTTTTTACATAATAAATTCTTCTCTTGCTCTTTATTTTTTCTTTCTGTGTATCACTTATCTTTATAGTGTTTCCTGAAACAGCATGCTATTGATTTCTAATTTTTAATCTGCTATCCATTTTTTGGAGGGGGTAAATTCCTTCCATTCACATTCTAAACAAAAATTACTTGTGTATTTTCTTCCTATTTTTCCTTACTATCCTTCTGACCCTATTTACCCTATCCTTCCTAACCACTCTCCTTTACTTCTACCTGGTACCTAGTCCTCTTATTCCTTTATCTACCCACTCCTCTGAAAGTCCCTTCCTTCTCATCACCCTTGCCCTATAACTTTTCCCTCTTCATTCTTTCTAGATTCAGATGTCCTTTTTAACCCATTCCAAATGAGAGTAAGATTCTAACATGTCCTACTCTCCACTCGCTCCTTTTCATCTCTTCCTGTACAGTATTATTTTTTTTTAATCAGCCCATTATACCCAGCTCAGCCTAAGGCTTTCTTTTAAACAAAACAATTATGAAAGTCATAAGAATACTGATAACATTTTCACGTACAAGAAATAAACAATTTGACTTTGATGTGTCCCTGAATTGACCCTGAATGTGTACTGAACTGAATGTGCTTCTCACTGAGCTATGCCAGTGAAGTTGTGGACTCTAACATGAAGCTGCTATCTGATTTGGTCATATGGTATTAATACACAAACTCTACCATGTCCTGGGAATATATAATTGGAGCTTCCTCCAAGATAATTTTCAATGCCTAAACCAATTAGACCTTGCTATATACTGGAGAAATTGTGAGTATGTGATGGTTTTTGAAATTTTATATAGAATATATTTTTCCTAATTATCCATATTTAGTAGTCATGAGCAATTAGTGAGGTGTAATTATAATCTGTAATTCCAGATAAAAGTGAATACATCATTATCAACCTAAAGGAATGTCAGGTATATATGAATTGAAGACATAATTCAGACTTAATAACTCTTTCAACACCTAAACAATGAGAAAGGTCTCTCAAGCCTACTGCCATTTGCTTTCAATTACTTTCAAAACTGGGAACTCAATGACGCCCTAGAAGTATAAGATCGGCCCTTTTTGTAGAGGCTGCTTAGATTCCTCATAGATGATTCTCTCATCTCCCAAAATCCCTTAGAAAGCCAATGACTCTGAGAGACTTACTGTGTAATAAAAATGGGAAGATAATAAATGGACAAAAAGGAGTTTAAAATCTGTTCATTAAAGAGGACATGTTCTATTTGGAAAACGTACCCAAACTATTGTTTAAAATGTTGGAACTGAAGCATGGGAGAGGACTAATTATTGTGGCTGAAGAAGATGCACTCAAAATATTATGGAAGTGATTGTTGATAAATCAAAATAAATTAATAAAATAGAAGGAAAAAAAGAAGATGCAACAGCTAGGGTAGTGTGGCAGCATGCAATTTTTGTAGTGGGTTTCCTTAAGATCATTATGATGATATGCCATTGTGACGGAAGTCTGTACTTGGAATCCTAGGAATGGTTCTGTACCAAAATCTGAGATTCACTTGGGATTGTGAAGAGTATCACAAAGGAATACCATATCCCCAGAAATTTTTATTCAGGATCAGAGGGGCCAATGTCAATCATGGGATAAGAGACAGCAGAGAGATGATAATGAGTCATCTGTGTCCAGTGTCTACCAGTATCAAAATGGCAACATATTCATGATTCCTACATGCATCTGTGACAAAATATTATTTTGGACCCAAAATTATCAAGAATAAAATCAATGGCATGTACTTGAAGATAATTTATAATGTAAAGCCAAAATTTATTGATAAAGACATTTGAGAAATTAGTACTTTCAAAACACTTTTAAATAGCCTTCATCTACAAAAATAAAGTGCTTTTTATGAAATATAGAGCTCACGGTAAGTTTGGCCAACAAAAAAAATTATAGTCTTGCTTCCTTCTCCTCCTCCTCCCTCCTTCTCCTCCTCCTCCTCCTCCTTCTTTTCCTCCTCCTCCCTCCTCCTTATTCTTTTCCTCCTCCTTCTTTTCCTCCTCCTCCTTCTCCTTCTCCTCCCTCCTCCTCCTCCTCCTCCTCCTCCTTCTTCTTCTCCTTCTTCTTCTTCTTCTTCTCTTCTTCTTCTTCTTCTTCTTCTTCTTCTTCTTCTTCTTCTTCTTTTTCTTCTTCTTCTTCTTCTCCTCCTCCTCCTCCTCCTCCTCCTCCTCCTCCTCCTCCTTCTCCCAAGAGAGACATTCCTGGTGTCCTGAGACCAAGCTACTTTTAGAGGAGCACAGCATATTTGAGGAATTAGTGATCAGTCAGGTGGCCACAACTATAATCTAGGACTCATTCTCTTCTTGGGCAGATTCTCTCCTCTATATGAATGACTTGGGATTGGAGGTGGTGGTCATGAGGGTCTTCCTTCTTTTAATCTAATCCACAGGGCAAGCAGAATGGGAAGGTATATATGAACAATTCATCATGTTTCCAGAGGGTCAACATCATCAAGGTCATTCAATGCTACTTAAAATTATAAAAGGCATTCAAAAATTCTACATTAGCAATAAACTGGGAATATTGAACTTGAAGTTTAAAAGTCAGCTTTCATATAGGAAGATGTTTTGTGCACAGTAGCATAAGGAATTCCACAAAAGGGCCAATACCAGTCATAGGATTAGTTATAGCACAGAGATGATAGTGAGTCATGTCTGCCCAGTGTCTAACAATACCAAGATGGCAAAATATGCATAACTTACATACAGGTCTGTGACAAAATAATATGTTGGACCTAAAATTATCAAGGATAATATTAAAGACATATATTTGAAGACAACTTATAATCTGAAATCAAATTTCAATGCTAAATACATACTTGAGAAATGATTATTTAAATGCCTTTGAATTAGTAAAATTGACAAAGGTTCATGTGCAAAAAGTTAACCACTTTTTTTAAACAAATTATGGAACTCAGTACAAGTTTAGGTAGCAAAAAAAATATTTCTAGCCATGCTTCCCCCCCTCTTTTTTGTTTTGCAAGACAGTCATTATTGATATCCTGAGACCAAGCTTGTTTTTGAAAAGCAAGACATAATTGAGGAAGTAATTATCAGTCAAGTAAAAGTATCTATAATCTAGAATACATTCTCTTGTTGAATGGGTTATTTCCACCACGGTCTTTATTAGTATGTACAGATGGCTGTGGAGGTGGTAGACAGGAGTGTTTGTATTCCTGTAATGTTACCAATGGCGTAATGGGAGAGGAACAGAAAGGACTACGTGAATGGTTCTTCATTTTTTCCCCAAAATGTCAAAATCATCAAGATTATTCACTATTGGTTAAAGAATTAAAGAAAAAACACATTTAAACACTGTGCACATGCAATAATAAGGAATTATTGAACTTGACATCCTACCGTTCAATAAAATAAAAAAAATAATTTCTTGGATAAGAACTCATTTAAAAAAAAATGTACAGGGAGCAATGCAAAGCAGCTTGGAAGAAAATGAGTGTAGACTAATACCTTATGAGGGGACAGCTGGGTGACATAGAGGATAGAACACCAGGCCAGGGGTCACAAAAACCTGAGTTAAAATTCATCCTGAAAATGCTTAAGAGCTGTGTCACACTCAGAAGTCTTTTAACCTCTCCCTCAGTTTCCTTATGAGTAAAATACAGAAAGTTATAGGACCTACCTTCCAGAATTGGTGTGAACATCAAATGTAATAATAATTGTAAAGTGCTTAGCACATTGCCTATCATAGATTAAATATTATTTAAATGGCTATAATTATCATTATCATCATCTTTATCAAACATATTGCGTAAGAAATGTAGAATGGATTTATGACCTAAATATAAAAGGCCAATCATGAAACAAAAATGGAAGAGAACAAGATCAGGTGCTTACAACAAGTATGGTTGCCTAACAAGCAATTTACAAGAAGCAAGCATTCTATCATACAAACTGTGATAGGCACTGGACTTACAAAGATTAAAAAAATGAAGAAATGAATGAATATAGAGATGGGAAAAAAAAAACAAAAAGGATGTGGTGTTCTGCAGCAGAGCTGGGACTTGAGCTCAGACATTCATGATTTAAAGCCAGCCTTCCATCCACTATGCACTACTCATCACATGATTTTCTTTCATTACCAATTATAGGTAGCAAATAACTGAGATGCAGAGAGGGTACTGTTTCTCTAAAGAGGCAGCCAGTTCTCTGAATAGAGATTCAACAAGGATGGGCACACTGGACAAGCCCAGTAAATATGTGTGGATGGATGGTGATGACATTATTACACTGACCACCTAATGGCGTCATTAGACTCATCAGTTATTGCTTCAACTAAGTTGCATTAGATATTAATGCAATTCTATATGCACAGTTCAAACACTCTAAAACAAATTGCAGTAATTGTTAAAGTAAATAATTTACAAATTGGAAAAAAACAATTTTCATTACTGTTGGAAGTGGCCAGATGGACCACAATTTTTTTTTTCTTTAAGGGAAATTGATAGGCATCTATGTATTGGAGAGTATTAATTTACTGGTCAAACCTAAAATCTGAAACAGCATTGTTAAATAGAGTTCTCTGCAGAATTGAAGGCAGTACTTAGCTAACATTTAAATCCTCATTAAAACTCAATGCTTTCCAATACCATAGGTAGAACATGCAATTATTTTGCTATCATGCATTCTTAAACAGGACTAAGGAAAATGATGCTTTAATACATATGGGACGCACTTGTCTGGACACCTGATTTTTCTTTCAATAATCAGAATCAGAAAAAAAATAATAAAAAAATTATAAACTTTACAATTAATATTTGATCCTTAAAACAATATGACTAAGAAGTTCAATTATCTCCTTTTGAAAGACTAAGAAATTGAAGCAGACAAAAATTTAATGGCAAATGATACGTGATTAGGATCACAGGACTCAAGTATCTGAAAGAACTTCTGACTCCAGGTAGAGAGACAAAATTACTAGGACACTTAGCTACTTGATAAAAATTTCATTTGATCCTCACAAAAATCCTGGCACATTGATATTCTTATTAGCCCAATTTTACCAGAAATAAAAATGTGCAGAAAGATGTTGTGTTACTTGTCAAAAGTCAAAGAGCTAGTGCATGAGGGTAGATTAGAAATCAGTTCTTCCTCACTTCAGGACTAGTTCTCTATCCACTACACCACTTAGTTCCTTCTAAAAGACATTATAATTCTCTAAAGGCAATCCAGCCTGCTCATCTACTCTAGCTTATTTTTGTTGGCCAACAATAAATCCATGTACCCATCTGTCCTAGAGGTACATCCGAAAAGGCAAAATCTCTATCTGTGGGCATGATGCAACCATGGCATATCACTCACAAACAGACACCTAGAACATAAAAAATGTTCCGTGAAATTAGGAAGACTACTGAAGTTTTTAACTTATTGCTGTCTGGGCAATTTCCATGATGTGTTCATACCAAATTAATGAAGCATCTCTCTTGCTTCAGGGACATGGCCTCCTGGGGACATAGAAAGGCATAAAGTCTGACTCTAGTGGCTGGCAGTACAGATTAGATGAACAAGCTACAGAAGACTCAACCATCCAGATAAGCAGGTAACATTATTCATTGTTTGTGAACTTCCAGTGTAGAAGGCATCAAAAATATGGAGTCCAAAAATCTCAGTCAAAAAGTTGATCACTATGCCCATTAATGAGGTGAGTAGGAGAATTATGTGCCCTTGGGCAGAATTCTGTCAAATTGAAATGGTATAAAACCATTCTAGGAAAGCCATCAAATGACAGTTCCTAACTGTTACAGTTGTCATAGAAACTTTTCTGCAGAGAAATCAAATAATTTTTGTCAAGGGATATTGGTCACTAATAACATTTGAGATGAGAGTAATCTTTGAGTCAATGCTATGTAATTGGTCATCATCTGAACAAGAAACACTTTTTTAAATGTTATTTCATGTCTCTTAGAATAATATACATTAAAAAAACACCAAAATTGTTGCCTAGTTCTTCTTCATAATCCAGATAGGACAATATCTTCTCTCTGATAAGGCAAAGGGAAGGGGAACTATAGAGGTTGAGTAAATATCATACAATTAATGACTGCATGAGGCAAAGGTTGTGATTGATCCTGGACCTTTACCTTCAATGGCTTAGGGCACTCTTCAAAAGAAAATTCCATCACTTGGCATTAGCCATCACTTTTCAAATGATCATCATAGACAATGACCCAACAACCAGAAGACTTCATGACTAGCAGAGGACTTTTGGAATCATGGTGGATATGTTATTTATCCCATCTTGACTTAGGTTAAAAGTAAACTTAATACCTACTTCATCAAAATTCCTTCATAAGGTGATCTTATAAGCTATGTCCTACATTAGTATCCTATTATAATCTTTTGACCCACTAACTAGTTAAGGTATATTAAAACATATCAATAATATTGTCCTGCCCCATCACTTGGAGAAAAGTAGTTTCATACTTTACTATTTTGTAGAATAAAACCAAATTCACTATCCCCTTTTTGACAGGATATTGATATGATATGAAATGATATGACATGATGTGACATTATATCAAATGACATAATGTGATATTATTCAGTGTGAGTGAATTCACCACATGGCATCAAAATGGATAAAATTACATTGTAATTGAGGGGGAAAATTCCTACTCGTCTTTATCTAACATATTTCTACCTATTAACTGTCTAGTTATCTATGCAAACAGTACTCAAAGAAGGTTTCTTTTTTTTTCTTCTCAGAATATGCCCCTTGGATGGAAGAAATGACCAGCCTGAATGAAACCACAGGAAGCCAGGTGACTGAATTCATTCTCATGGGCATCACAAATCGTCCTGAGCTGCAGGGCCCCCTCTTTGTTGTGTTTTTTCTCAACTACATGGCCATAGTTGTGGGGAACCTGGGCCTGATCATCCTGACCAGTGTGGATTCCCACCTCAAGACCCCCATGTACTTCTTCCTCAGCATCTGGCATTTGTTGATCTTGGCTATTCCACAGCTATTGGGCCAAAAATGCTAGTTGGATTCATAGAGGAGAAAAATATCATTTCTTATTATGGATGTGCAATACAGCTAGTTTTCTATGTGGCATTTATTGCCAGTGAACTTTTTATCCTCTCAGCCATGGCATATGACCGTTATGTTGCTATCTGTGAGCCTCTCTTCTATATGGTCATCATGTCAGACATGGTATGTTGGCTCTTGGTGGCTGTCTCATACCTCTATAGCACCATGGTATCCATACTGGTCACAATAAAGCTTTTTAAATTATCTTTCTGCAAATCAAATATAATACGACACTTTTACTGTGATGGTGCTCCCCTATTGTCCATTACCTGCTCAGACGCAAGTGAGATTGAACTCATCATTATGATCTTTGCTGCATTTAATTTTGTTTCTTCCCTTCTTATTATCCTTATCTCCTACATGTTCATTCTTATGACCATCCTCAGGATGAACTCTTCTGAGGGCAGGCACAAAGCTTTTTCTACCTTTGGCTCTCATCTCACTGGGGTGGTTATATTCTATGGGACACTTCTCTTCATCTATCTGCAGCCCCCAAATACCCATTCTTTTGATACAGACAAAGTGGCCTCTCTGTTTTACACTCTGGTCATCCCCATGCTCAACCCCTTGATCTACAGTCTGAGGAACAAAGAGGTGAAAGGTGCCTTGAGAAGGCTCTTTGAAAAAATCATGTAAGCCTTCTTTTTAATGTCCAATGTGGTATGTAATTCCACTGCATTATTCAAAGCAAGTAAATATGTACCAGATTTTTTTCAACTTCTCCCTGGTTCTTCTTTCATCTTTAAAAAAAATTATCTTAATATGCAAAGAATCATTTTCGATTAGTTATTAGTGTTCTTATGGTCAACCTCCAATAAATCCTAGTTTATTGGACCATTTAATAAAAGGGACCTATTAGAGAATTAATACAAAACATCTCCACAAAACAATCTATTTCATTATACAAATATAACTGCTCATAATAGTAAACAGCCTAAATTTGTTTTAAGTTTCCTTACATGGGAAAATCAATTAATAAGCATGTAGAAATTGATGGTGCCAGGTACTATTCTAGCCATTGGGTCTACACTGATAAATACAAAACAAATAATTCTTGCCTTATAGTTTATTGTTATTATAATATATTGTAATTATGTATAATTATTGTATATAATAATGTAATTAATAACCTAATATTTTATGAAGGAAAACATTATCGAACAGAGCAGCCAATCTCCTTTGGAATATCTCTTATTCTTTAGAAGTTTATCCTTATCGCAACCTAAATTTCCCTGTGACTTCCATCCATTTCCTGTGGTCTTCTCCGTGAAGTAGAACAATTTGATTCTCTATAATAATTGTTCAAGTTCTTGAAGAAAACTTTCATCTCTTCCTGCAGCTTCAAGTCCCAGAATGTCTGGGTTTTTTTTCCATTTTTGGTGCTAGGATGGAAAGAACACTGGGTTATACAAGGAGTCCCAAAAGTCTTAGGCTGGATTTAATTTTCTAAAGCTTACTGTAAACTCGATTTTGGACTTTGTGTTGAAGAAACTGCATTTAAAGTAAAGGTCTATAACTTGAGACCTGTAATATTCTGGGCAATAAATTTGTCTCCTCTTATTTCCATTCATCTATAAAATTTGAGAATTTGATGAGAGAAAGTTTGCATGCTCTTTCACTTAAATTGTATCATTCCATGAACGTATTCTTTGTTAAGAGCATACAGTCTTCAATGGGTATTCATGTCATGTTCTTGTTTAAAATTCCTTTTAAAACTAAATATAAAATAAGAAAAGAAAAAAAAAAAACAACATTGTCATGTAGACAGTAGAAAGTAAGAGAGGATTCAATCCAAAAGTATTAATTTCCATTTCAAGAAAACCTATATAATAAATACTGCACATTGTTTTCAAAGCTATGCAGCTTTTCTTTGCTTCCTTGTAGGTTTTCATTTGTTTTCTGCTGTGCACTTTTTATTTTGTTTTTCCCTACCTCCCACTCCACAACCTGCCTTAAAGAAGGCTACAATTAAACATGGAAATGTACATATATATATATATATATATATATATATATATATATATATATATATATATATATATATATATGTAGATGTATACATGCACATATATGTAACATAACATCGTTCTATGCTTATTTCCACTTGTCTCCTCTTTTTCTTAATGTGGATAGTATCTTATTTTGTAAGTCCAAATCCTCCTATGTGTTTTGCTTTTTGTTTTTAATTTAATAAATTTCTATTGATTTCATTTAGTTTGACCTCAGTGTGACCTTATTTTTCCTTCAGATTCTTGTGGCCAAGAACTTTAATGATTTCAAAGCAGAATCGAGAGCAGAGTGTGAGATTGGGAAGGCACCCAAAAATTCATTTCCAAATTTTTCTGCGTTTTATTGTTTTGATATTAAGTGGATCATTGTCATCACATAGTCAGAGAACATTTTTTGACCATCCCCTCCCTCAGTCTCATCTCCCTTCTATTAGCTCCCTCCCTTTTCTTCCCCTTTACCCTTACTACTTTTCCCTCCCAACTGTCCTTCCTCCCTTTTTCTTTCTCCCTTTCCCTCCTATTGCCTATATGGCAAGTTAGATTTCTATACCGCACTGATTATGTTAGTCCTTCCTTGAGCCAAATTGGATGACAGTAAGGTTCAAATAATGTTCATCTCCCTCCCTTCTTTCCCTCTAGTGTAATGAGTTTTTGTTCCTTTTCCTGTGACATAGTTTACCCTTGTCTGCCTCCTCCTTTCCTTTTCTCCCAGTATATTCCCTTAGTTAAATCTGATTAATCCACTTACTTAGATCCGTTTAACCTACTCTATCATAATTTTTTTTATCATTACATCAAAGTCAACTTATACCCACCTCCTCTATGTATACTCCTTTAAAGTGGTGTAATAACAACACAGTTCTCAAGAGTTACAGGTGTCATCTTCCCTTGTAAGGATGTAAACAGTTTGCCCTTATGAAAAACATGTTGTTGTTGTTGTTGTTTTTCTGTCCTGTTTACCTTTTTATGTCTCTTTTGAGTTTTGTATTTGAAGATCAAATTTTCTGTTGAGCTCTGGTCTTTTTATCAGGAAGGTTTGGAAGTCCTTTATTTCATTGAATACCTATCTCCTCCCCTGAAAGATTATGGTCATTTTCACTGGGTAGTTGATCCTTGGTTGTAATCCAAAATCCTTTGCCTTACGGAATATCGTATTCCACACCTTATGATCTTTTAATGTAGAAGATACAAGGTCCTTCATAATCTGACTGTGGTTCCATGATATTTAAATTCTTTCTTTCTGGCTGCTTACAGTATTTTCTCTTTGACCTGGTAATTTTGGAACTTGGCAACTATATTCCTTGGCAATTTCAATTTGAGATCTCTTTCAGAAGGTAATCAGTGGATTCATCCTATGGCTATTTTACCCTCTGGTTCTAGGACCTCAGTGCAGTTTTCCTTGATGATTTCCTGAAAGATGGTATCCAGGCTTTTATTTTTCTTTTTTTCAGCATGATTTTCAGGTACACCAACAATTTTTCAATTGTCTCTCCTGGATCTATTTTCCAAGTCAGTTGTTTTCACCAATGACAATTTACATTTTCATCTATTTTTTTTCATTCTTTCGTTTCTATTTGACTGATTCTTGCCCTCTCACATAGTCATTAGGTTCCAATTGCCCAATTATAATTTTCAACAAATTGTTTTCTTCTATTAAATTTTGTACCACCTTCTCCATTTGGCCAATTATACTTTTTAAGGGGTTGGTTTTTTCATGTGCTTTTTGGCCAACTGTATCTTTTTAAGAACTTCTTTTCTGCAATTCATTTTTGTCCTTCTTTTTCTAAGCTATTGACTCTCTCTTGCATACCTCTCATTTCTTTCCCCAATTTTATTTCTACCTCTCTTATTTGACTTTTAATATCCTTCTTGAGCTCTTCCAAGAAGGCTTTTTAGGCTTCAGACCAGTTTATATTCCCTTTTGAGGTTTCAGATGCAGGTTTGTTCACAATGTTGTTGTCTTCTTCAGAATTTCTGCCTTGATCTTCACTATTCCCATAATAAGAATCTATAGTATGGTTCTTTTTGTTCATGGTATTTCCTTATTGCCTGGCTTTTAAAAATATTTAGCTTTCCTGCTGGGGACAGGGGCCCTGACCCAAGTTTCTTGTTTTGGGAGCCCAGAGCCTGGTCACTGGCTTTGTGTATTGGGCCCTCAGATGCTGGCACTTGGAGGCTGTAGTGTTCTGGCTGCTTACCTGGTATTGGGCTGGAATCCACAACACTGGAGCTCTAGGGATAGGATTGGGTCATGTGGCTCCTGGAGATTTCCTGCTCACCTGGACCTTTCCTTCCTTTTGCTTTCTTCAGCTCCTTTCAGGTGGATGTTGTAGGGTACTTATTGGCCTGGGGCCCCTTGGAGATCTGCTTCCTTTAGGTTTGCTGAGGCACTGGAAGAGCTGGCTGTTGTAGAATGCTGAGGCAACTGGTGGTTTTCCAAGCTGGCTTCCACTTGGGGTCCAGGTATTGGTGTTTGCCTGCTCCACTACCTGGGATTTAAGATCTCCCCCAGGTATGCTGAGGTGGGGCTTTCCGCTAACTTGCTGGAATGCCTCCTGCTCTGCACTGTTCACCCTCCCTCAGGGCAAGAAGAACCTTTCCCATTAATCTCTCAAGCTACCTGGGCTACTGGACTGCTGTACCTCATCTTTCTTCTGGTTCAGCTGTTCCAGGGCTTTTCCTGGTGTGATAGTTTCCGGGCTTTCAGAGGTTAATAAGGGACTGTGTGAGAGTGACTTACTTCTTACTCTGCCTTCTTACATGTGTTTTTGAAATCAACTAGTTCATCATTTCATGCACCACAACAGTATTCCAAACCACTTACATCCTAAATGAGAGATTGACTAGTAATTTTTTTTCTCCACTTTTCTGCATTCCTCCTATTCTTGGCTATGTTGGCTTTATTTATGCAAGAAAACTGTAATTTAAAATGCTAAAAATTACTCATTTTACACTTTGACAATGTTCTTACTTATAGTTTAAAGTCTGAGACTGCTGAGTCTACTTCCATTATTTTCTTTTTCCTTGGTTTCTTTGAACTCACTGGCTTTCTGTCTTCCAAATAAACTTTATTTTTTTCTAACTGATTAAGTTTTATTTAATAATTTATTCAGGATGGTATTAAATAAATAGATTAGTTAAATAAATTAATCTATTAATAAATAGATTAGAGTAAATAAATAAAATATGTAGGTAAAATTATCATTTATTTATTACATTGGCTTTACCTACTCATGAGCAATATATATTACTTCAACTACTTAAAACTGACATTGTTTGAATAAAAAGTGTATTTTTTATATTCATATCACTCCTGTGTTGTTGTTGTTGTTGTTGTTTTTGGCAGGTTTAAAATAATATTATTGACAAATTGTGTAGTTTCCCTATTTTCCTCTTTTGATTGTCTATTTTAGCTTTAACCTTGTCTGAGATCATGATTATTATCCTTACATTTTGTTACATAATAAATCATTCTAATCCCCTTTTTTTAAATCTTTCTATGTAGCACTCATTTTTATAGAACTTTCTGAAAGCAACATATTGTTGTGTTCATTTTTTTTAACCTTGTATACATGGGTAAATTCATCTCATTCACATTCTATGTTATAATTACTTGTACATTTTCCTCCTTCCTATTTTCCCTCATTATCCTTCTGACCCTATTTACCCTACCCCTCCTCACTCTTCTACCTTACTTCTACCTGCAAC